TGAAAAACTCACATTTCCATTTGCATTTATAGGACGACTTTGTTTGATACCACTGATATTGTTGTACAATAGTTCCATATTTGATCGCGGTATAGCTCTACCATTAAATCACTTATACTTCAGGTTGATGATAAGATAGATTTTCTCTACTATAACTTAAAAATAGGAATATTAAAATGTTTTGAGAGTATAAAAAACAGTTTTTGAAAAGGAGTTCTACATATTTTCTAATGTGTTTTATCATAGTTTAATCAATAAATTATATTACTAAATTTAATAAATTTTAACAAAATATATAGGTATTTTGAAACATCATACACGCAAATACGAACGTACGCATGCATGCGACACTCATATTGAGAGATTCTATGTTGAGATAACAGGAATACTACGCTATTTCGTTTCAAGTAATTTGTTAATATTTCAAGAAATTTTCATTATAATGTTGCAATACCTAATATAGAAGCTCAGAATATTTCATAAAACAAATTCAGTCAGCAGCATAAGTGTTCGTCCACCTATTGCACTTGGCATACGTATAAGAAGTAGGAAAACATGCATGGAAAATTTAAATAAAAAATATGAAAATCAATCTTCATTAATAAAAAATAATGTAAAATTCTTTACAATTCGTAACTATTGTATATTGTGGAAATTTAAATGAAGTATCATAACATATTAAAAAATTTTAATGTAAAAATATTCCTCCGCAAACATTTATGTTGGGTAAACTGCTTGAAAACGAACGAAACATAACACAAATGAATGTGATGAGGTTGATTATGTTTTGTTCATTACCAATATAGGTTACTTCAATCACACAAAAAAAAAGAATCTAAAATTAAACGTAAAAACGTATAACATCTCTGCTTCAACGAAAAATTATTGTAAAATTCTAGAGAAGAGAAAAATCTGGCAGGAAAATGACTCATAGTACAATACAGTATACAAAAGTTTATGAAAAACAAAATAATTTTAAATAAGTTGCAAGTCGGAAGACCAAAACTGCAGACAAATCGTGTGAAAGCAGTTGAGCAGGTTTCCGTATCTCTTCACCTAAAATATAGGAAAGGATACTGCCTCCATGAGGTCAGTTTAAAAAGTCGTGTTAGTTGTAAAAAGAACCATTGATTAACGTTGTATATCGGAAGAGGAAATTAGAACTCGTAAAAAAGTACGTTTCTAACCTAGAAAACGTTTGGAAATATAATTTTTACTGATGAGTCTAATAATACTATAAACAGAATTTAATACCAACGGGGGAGCGTCGCTGTCTGTCAGCGACTGATGTTGATAGTTATCACATTATAGAGAGTACAGTAAATCGTTGGATGCAGATAT